CCCAACTTCTCAGTCTTTCTCGTAGACATACAAAGCCACTTCTTGTAAAGGACATTTCCTCATTTCCTGGACACTGGATCATGGGATAGCAGGACTTACAGTGTGCTGCACATTGCTTACATCCATAATGGCATCTAAGGTACCAGGAACTAATAATGTGTTAATCATTACGTGGATTATTGAAGAAAATAGGGCATTGGGATCAAAGTTCAAACAATTAAGTTGCAACATATATTACTTGAATAGGTGTGTTCACTAAAATGCTACTGTAGGTATAATATGTATGACACCTAAATATTTTCTACAATCATATAAAGCAAAGTACATATGTGAGTTCTCCCAGGGTGGGATGGGAGGAGGGTGTCACCACATGAGGATGGTGCAGAGACTGTGAATTGTAAAACTCCAAGGATACCACTCATGTAAGGTATGATCTGAACCATTTGAAGTTATATGTTGTGGTGGTCCTAGACAAGAGTTAGGATCATGTAGAAAGAGAAGACACAAATGAAAGTAAATAGGCCCAATCCAAGGAGAGCAACCAGATCTGTTCACTTAAAAACTTCCATCTTTTATCTGAGCTGATGTTCTCCACGTTCTTTCCTGTAAGCCACACCAGACTTAAATCTCTCAGAGGCTTGAAATAGAGGACCAAGGAGAGAATGGCCTCCATCTAAATTAATTGTTTCTTCTTTTTTCTTTGTATATCTGTCTTGCATCTTGGGGAAGAGGGCAGAAAAGACTAATATCTTATGAGCCTGTCTAGCTGTGATGTGGTTTCAAACATTGCTCATAGTAGTAGCTGTCTCTAAACTGGAATTTGGAAGGCTCTTCTTTCTGCATGATTTCTTGTCATGGGATGCCCCAAGTTGATTAAGCCTAGCCACCTTCTATGGTTTTACCTCTATAATAACAAATTCTATGCTCCTTGGTGTATCAAGCATGTGAAATCCTTAGTATAGGAAGGTGATCCCACCTACAAACATGTCTTCTCCATCATCTCCCTCCTGTTCATTTCTTCAATCTCAGCAGCATCAAAAATTCTGCCTATCTAGTGGCAATGTTGATGTGAGAGGTTTACCATCTCCTGACTTATGGGCCTCCCGAGATTCACACTGTACTTGGGAGTTCTTTTCAAACACTGCACTGCCTGAAACTGTCAACCAATTTCTCTCTCCTAGTCTTCTTCTGTATCAAGAAGGGTAGTGGGAATGGTGGATAGCAGTGGTGAAGGTTTTGTTGACCCAGTGTTTCTCACTTAATAAGAAGAATTGACATTGGAAATTTTCTAAGCTTGGAATCTGACATATGCAATACCTTTGGTTCTCAGATTTGGGTTATCAAATTGGTTTCAGCAAAATGGGATTCAGATGATTACTAAATTACTTTCTGCTTCAATAGCAGAGGTCCTTTGTGAGTGAAAATCTGTGGGCTTTTGGATAATCTAAAAACGAATGGAAGGACATGGTGTGAGAAGGCTGTAATTTTAGTTGTGATGGACTTTGTGAATCTCATGGAGATGCAGTAACTGAATGAAACTCATAACCACTTCAAGAACTTCTAATTATTTATATCATGTGATTTGTGTAATATTTATCTCTCCTGCTAGGCTGTGGCCTAGCAGGAGAACTGAGAATGTCTTTTTCTTCACCATTCTTTCCATAGCACCTAGATACAGAGTGGTGACAAATTATGAAAAGATTAAGAAACTAATTGACCGATAGACAATGACCTCTGGATGATCCTTGAATTTCAAGAACAGAAGTACAAAACTTCTTAATAAGAAAGATGCCATGAATTGAGCACTGATCATATTCAGGAATGAGCCCAAGCACTTGCCATTGTCTAATGGGATCCATACATTTTTACAGCTGAGAAAACCAAGGCTAACCACTGTTTATATTTTCTATTTTATTTTATTTTTTCACTTTTGCAGTGCTTGGGAGTGAACCCAGGGCCTCATGCATGCTAGGCAAATACTCTATTACACCTCCAGCCGCAAAGTTCAAATGTATACCAAAGTCTGACTCAAAAATATGTTAATTTCTATTAATTTTACATAAGCATAGTTAAAAATATTAACTGTTTCTATAATAGGTTTAATAAACCATTTCTGTAATAGTTCTTTGTTCTACAAATTAAAGTTCTTTTAATCACGTCACTTCTAACTCCTAGGCATACTTCACTGTCAAGATTCTTCAAACAGTTATATGTACACATTTCTCTATTTGCCCAACCTCCATTTTTTCTTTACCCAAGTATTTCTTATTTGCATCCTTAATATATTTGTGATGCTCTTTGGTGGTCATCTCTGTGCTTTTATATTTTGTCGTCAAGGTTGCCCCTTATTTCACAGGAGCTCATAACTTCCAGCTTGTTGCCTTTTTTTTTCGTTAGGCTAGGGGCACTTATGTGGTACTCACCACCACATAAGCAAATTCCTTGCTATGCCACAGTAAGTCACAGTTGCATATTTCTGTGATTGTAGAGGCTCTGCTAAGCCATCTTGGGTAACTTAGAACTACATCTCCCAGAAACCATAGGAGTTGGGGTTAAGAGTTGGTCAAAGATTAATTCTCTTGAAATTGAAAAGCAGAAGTAAAGGAGGAGGAATAAGTATGTGAAGATAAGTAACAGGAGGCAGTAAGAAACCGATGCAGATGGGCTGGCACCTTTGCTTTTCTCTACTCCCATGTCTGACTCTTTCTGAATGCTGACCTTGCTGACCTACAAGGCCCAGTACAAGACACTTGGCTACAAACCTGTAGAGGAGGTAGCTATGCAGAGGCAACGGTCTCCACAGACTTCTGCAGGAGCTGCCTTCATGTCCTACTGCTATTCTTTGACTGCCTAGATTCCAGTATCACACACTAACATTTGTAACTCAGGTAATCTTGCTAGTGATTTTTTTCTCCTCCAACTCCCTTCTTCATTTCTTTAGTTCCCTAATCTAATTCCTGTGATACATTTCCTGTTATGTTATCTTCATAGTTTTGTTTTCCTGATGGGGACTAATAGAGTTATTGGTTATTTTGCAAATCTAGTACCATGTACTGAGCCATCCCAAAACTTAGTGGCGTAAGACAACAATAATTTTTTTATCTTCATCATTCTGCTGTTTTACTGGGCTTAAATGGGAGTTTCATTTGCTGGTCATGCTTGGTGTTTGGCAACTGGAAATGGAAAAATCTAGAGGCTTGACTGGAAAGCAGGGATACTTTTGCAGGTAGTTTTGGAAACTCCAGTGTTCTCCATTTGCACAGCTGGATTTTGACAAGGCAGGTCTGCCACATTCTTTTAATTAAGGCATCTCATTCAGCCAGTCTACACCCGATGAGGGAAGGAAATACACAAGGCTATTAAGGATTTGTGCATCTTTGGAAACCATTTGATACTAGCCACTGATTTTTCTGTTTGACCACATTCGGCCTGTATCATTTTGTGTTATTTTGAGCTGTGCTCTTCATAGTCCTATTTTATGCTGGTGTGAATGTTCATTAGGCACTATGTTTTGGGACCCACCTTTTTCACAAGGTCTGGTGGGCACTCTGGACAAAGGCATCAGTAGAAGGATGGCAAGGTAGTTCCTTTAGTCCTGGCTGAGCAACTGAGACTGTGAATGTGTGCCTTTTTCTAAGTACTACAGCTTGCGCAGTCCTCTGGGAACAGTTGTTTAGTCTGTGACACTTTGCACTACCACTTCTAGGAGCTTCATCCTTTTGGATGACTGCTGGTAGAGGGTTTTTTTTGGTGTACTGGAGTTTTTGGACTCAGGCTTTGTGCTTACTAGTCAGGACTCCACCACTTGAGCTGCTCTTCTAGCCCTGGTAAAGGCCTTTTTTTAAGTCCAGGACTTCGTAGCCATTTGAGTCTGTGAGGTTGGTATAGGAACTGTGATGTCCCACACAGGGCTGCCACACTTCCGTACTGAAATGTCTTAGATTTATTTTCTTTTTCTAGATTCACTGCCAGAGGCAATGGGCCTAAGCTTCCCTTCCCAAACCTGGTATTTTCACAATTACTAGAGCAGCTATTAGACAATGAATGGTACCATGTAGCTTTAATGAACAGTTCATGCCAATAATGCAATTGGTAGTTTTTGCTACAGTATGGTAGAGCTGGCTTTGCGGGCATGGGGTCTGTGCAGATGTTCAGAGCTCTGTGCTTAGACAGGCTCTGAACTGGTTTAACTCTTTGCTGTTGCTGTCTTGAAATTCTGATTAATTTTTAAGCAGAGGCCTTTCATTTTCATTTTGTACCAGGCAGTATAAGTTGTATAGCTTGTCATCACTATAACTATGATTACCATTTAGTTTTCTTATTCTTCCTAGTTCATATCTTGCTACTTGATGCAGACTTGGGAACAGAACTAAATCCGGGCCTGACCTGGTAGGAAATAGCCTATCACTGGGACCCATCTGAGCACTGTAACATGAGGGAGGGAATAACCAGCTTGGTAGTCTTTGTCTTCAGAGGTATGGGGTAGATGGGTGGGAAGGGCACAGGGAAAGCATCTCTGTTGTCAGTGCAGAATTTCAGGCTTTCATTCTCCTCTTGGTAAAAGGCCAGGTGTCTAACAGTTTAGCTATTATTGTGTACAACTGTAGATTTTAGGTAAATATAATACCATCAATTTATTCTAATAGCACCAAGACTCCATTCATTCCCTCCAAATATTCTTTATTTGCTTTTGTTTTGACTACTCAAATGGATAATTTAAACTTCTTCATGATATTTGAAATATTTCAGAAAACATTTGCATTAGAAAAATAATATACAACTAGAGATCAATATGAAAAAACTTTATCCACTATGATATATAAAAAGAGCAAATAAAATTATTAAACTTTGATATTGGCAGTTTTTCACATATCCATGGATGTCTATATTTAATCAAAGTATCTTTTTAGACCTTTTAAGATTATATTTATGAATTCATGATAACAACTTGAATTAAAAAATTCAGAAATATCCTTTACTTCTGCTTTTTCTGTTTTTTTTTAAAATGCTGTTCTAGGTCTCCTTGAAGAATTTCTTTTATTTAAGAAACAAATAGTGGCACTTACAATAATGGTAACAACTACCACAGCCCCTACCACTAACAACACCAAAGTTGTAATATTAACTCCAGAACTAGGATTGCTTCCAGGACTGGGGTAGTTTGGATCAGGACTCGGATCTCCTTGAGGGACAAACAGAGCCACTTGTGCAATGTTGGATGATTTTGATGTCAAATTGCTTTCGTCTACACTTTGAATGGCAATGAATATGTGGGTTGCATTTTCTTCTGAGATTTTTCCTGGTTTAAAAACAAAGGTTTCCTCAGAGTTGGCCTCCCTTGGTACCAGGTCAGAAGTGTTAACTTGAAGAGCATCATCAAAATTGTCCCTTAGGTCAATGATATTCCCACTTATTCTTATGATATACTCTTGAACTAAAAAAGAAAAGTTACACATGGTTTAGTAAGTAGCATTCGTGTTAAATTTCTTTCCATTTATTCTCAAAAATGTTATATAGTTATTCAAAGTATATGTTTATGTCAGAAGTCTAACTTTTCAATAAAAGCTGAATTTACTACTATATTCTTTTCTTAAATTTATAATTGTTATTATTAATTTTTTTTAAGAGATTCTTACTACGTATCTCAGACCAGTCTGGAACTCAAGGTCCTACTGCCTGAGCCTCCCAAGTGCTGGGATTACAGGGGTGTGCCATCATGCCACCTAAATTCTGACTTACAAGTTTTTTTTTTTACTGTTCTTAATGTGGTACTGGGGTTTGAATACAGAGCCTCATGCCTTCTTGAGCCACACTTCCAGCCCTGGATTCTGACTTTTAAACTTTGCGAATGCGCTGTTTTTGTATGAAAAATAGGGCCACATTAAAATTTATCATGTTTCATTATTCAAGAATATCAGATTACAAAACTCATACTTTGTAGAGCTGTTAATTAAAAACATACATCCTTGCTTTTGCACTGAACATTTTTCACTTAATTCAAGCTACGTGACACTGTTCTTACCTATTCCAACATCGAAATCATCTCCTGGTGCTGTCCATGTTAGATTGATGTTGTCCCCATCGAGTGTGGCATGAAGGTCTGTGATTTGACTTGGTGGGAACAGGTCAGGCAATGGACCACTGGGAACATCTGACATCACAAACGCATCTCCAGTTGCTGTTCTGCTGAAACTCTCCAGCACTGTCTGAGCATCATCAGTTTCAGGTCTTGGTGGGTTCCGCTTGATTTCCCCTGCATTAAAAATTCTCTACTTTAAAAGGGGAAAACTGTACTAGTATTTTTACAATTCAATGAATCACCTTCCCAATCCTTCATACCTGTAATTTTTTTGTTTTTTCATAAGCATAGCTATGTTTTACTAAGTCCTGTGGCACAATCATAAGTATTCAATTGGTGGGAGAATTTTCCTTTGGTATTATTGCCAGGAAGTTGTAGGAGAACATTGGATAACAAATTATTTTGGAATGAAAACTACACTAAATGAGAATAATGTCACATAATTCAACGTATGCATTGAAAACAAACATTTCTTTATTTTTGAAATTATCTCAAAGCTAAGGTTTACCTGGGGAAATCATTCCAAATTCCTTTCCAACCACTGGGCCAGGTCCTTCCCTCCCTCTTACAAGTGCACTTCTGATTGTATTCTAATTGCTAATGAAAAGCCCCGAAATGTTGCAAGATAAGGGACCAGACAAAGAAAAGCTAGCATTAAAATGCATTCTTAATGATTATCATCATCTTAATCTATACTTTTTTTTTGACATAAGAACATTTCAAATAAATGTTTATTCTTACAGCACCTGTCATCTGAAGGATTAATCCTGCTACCGATTTACACTTAGGCTCACAATGTATTGAGTTATTATCTTTGTCCTGAGCTGAAAATTGGGCATATTACTGCTGATATCATTAATGTGTTCCATAGTTATGTGATACCAGCTGAAAGGCATTGAATTCTCATGAGGTATCTGGAGGCAATTATCTGAAACTTCATTTTTTTTTTTATGTGGAGCTGGGATTTGAACTCAGGGCTTCATGGTTGCTAGGCAGGTACTTTACCACTTGAGCTACTCTGCCAGCCCCAGAACATCATTCTAGAAATAGAAAAGGCTATACTTTGAGTTGTAAAATGTTTGGAGGCTTAGTCATATCAAATCACAAATGTTTTTCAAACTCTGAGTGGAGTTAGATACCATGAGCTACTCACCATTCACTATCCAGCCTGGTATGAAGGCGGCTCTATTTGCTGGATGCTGTAAGCTTTGCCTGGCAGAGTTTGTTCCTCCATGAGCCCTCACTTTTAAGCTATATCTGCCATTGTCTGAATAAGCTGTAAAATACCTGGAGTAGACTCCATCATTTTTGAAAGCGTCAGCACCTTGTTACAGAAATGAAGAAATAAGCTATGACTGTAAATGAAAAGACAAGTTCATGCATTTTCTAAGACAAGCACTGGCTTTCATAAGCATAACTCAGTATTTTGCACTTGGCCTTTGAAGAATATTTCTATTATGTCCTGCCAAAACAATACACTGTTGAGTTGATGCCTTGAGTAATTTTGATGTCTATATATATCCTCGTAACACATCTACACAGAAAGAAACTTGTCTATGTATAATGCATACTGAAATATCTCATCTTTCTGTAACTTATAAACAGATTACAGTACTTTTCTTACAATTTCTCTGCAAATGTGCTTGCTTTCAGCTAACTTTATCTAATCATATGATGTCATTTTTCAGTCAAAAGGGTCTCCACTAAGGAAAAGTATCCTTGTAAAGGATTTCATTCTCACTACAGTTAGCGAAAAATAGTTATTTGTCTTCAACAAGTCTTTTTTTTTTTCATATTGCACTCTCCTGATCAATTAACTCTGGTCTGTCAGAGGAAACCCCCATCTACTATGGGAATAAACATTTGGAGGAGCTCAGAAAAACAGTATCATAAATGTACTTCTTGATTATGACCAGCATTGGAGTGAGTTGTTAAATTGCAAAACACATTTCCTAGGGAGTTTAATACTCTAAACAGAGGATGTTAAAGCCAGGTCCTTGCACCAGCAGTATCTGTACCACACTAAAAATCTGGAACTTTTAGACTTGTTGAGGGAAAGCCCTCAGCATTCTGTATGTTAACAATCCTCCAGAATATACTTTGCTTTGTAGAGTGGGAGAATGCCTGCTCTCAGCTCTTGGCCATCACTAATACCTTCGTAGGTAAAGGCATCCCAAATTAGCTTGTTCTTCAATTAGCTAAACGCTCTCATGGCAGAATGTTAAGAAGTGAAATGAGATGCAGGTGAGCTTTATGAACTGTAGATGGGTTTGTGGAAAGGAAATGAAGAGAAGGGAATAGTGGTGCAAATATCGTTGTGCTTCAAGAAGACATTGAGTTGCACCAAAGAGCATTTTGCCAACTAGCTGAAGACAGAATTATAAAATGACTGAAGAAATTACATCACAAAAGATACTGATAGAAACTTGCAATAATTCAGAAGCGTATCAAATTGCACACCAATCTCAAACAGAGGATTCAGTTCCCAGAATAACCCAAACTCTGGATAAAGGCTTTTATGCACCACTCATCCATCCAGACCAGGGAGAAGAGACTGGCCAGCACTGTTTCCTGCTTTTGTCCAGTCAGACCTGGCATCTGATGTGCCAGTGATGAGTCCTCCTTCTGTGGGCCTCAGTTCTCAGAATTCTGTTTGTGCTTTCTTGCAGCTTTTGAGAAATACACTTGCTCCTCTTGCTTTCCCTGCTAGGGGCCTGGATTCTTTTTTTTTTAAATTTTATTTTTTTATTATTCATATGTGCATACAATGCTTGGGTCATTTCTGCCCCCTGCCCCCACCCCCTCCTTACCACCCACTCCACACCCCCCTCCCCGCCACCCCCTTGATACCCAGCAGAAACTATTTTGCCCTTATCTCTAATTTTGTTGAAGAGAGAGTATAAGCAATAATAGGAAGGAACAAGGGTTTTTGCTGGTTGAGATAAGGATAGCTATACAAGGATTTGACTCACATTGATTTCCTGTGCGTGGGTGTTACCTTCTAGGTTATTCTTTTTGATCTAACCTTTTAGGGGCCTGGATTCTACCACCTTATTCTACCTGGCTGATTTGCCTCACCCTCTGAGGACAGATTTCCATCCTTTGTTCCTTTGTTCCTTCATTCCTTCCCTCCTTCCTTCTGTCCCTCTCTCCCTCCCTCCTTTCTTTTTTCCTTCCTTCCTCCCTCCCTCCTTCCCTTCTTTCTTTCCTTCTTCCCTTCTTCCTTCCCTCATTCCCTCCCTTCCTCCTTGCTTCCTTCTTTACCTCCCTTTACCCCTTCTCTTTTTGTAGTACTGGGGTTTGAACTCAGGGCCTCATGCTTGCTAGGGCCTCATGGTGCTCTACCACTTGAATGGCTCCACCAGCTCCAGATGTTCTTGATGACACCTGCCCTAAAAAGAATTGCCCAGAATTCTTGATTCTGTCTCAACCTCCTGAATGAGACCTTGTTAACTGGGATAGGTATTGACTGTCTAGATGGCAGACAAAAATGATGACAATAAATAATATTTATTGAAAACTTACCATGTGCAAGCCTGTTACTAAGCGCTTTGTAGGTTTTACCTGATAGTCCTGCTGTTCCTTCACCATCCTTCTCAACTCTTTTCATGCCTATCTTACTGTCCTACCTCAGGACCCATACCAATCCTGAGTTAAGAAAACATCCACTTATTCCTAAAAGCCTGTGAATTACCTGCTCCATTATCCAAAAGTTCCAAAACTTTTGATTTTCCACTGTTTGATTCAATGATAGCTGTCACACTGGCTCCAATGATAGGTATGTAGCCCTGTAGAACTTCTGCGTAAACAATCATTGGGTTGGGGAAGCTGTTGGAGTTTTTATTCATTTTAGCATTCACTGTGATCGGAGGCACAGAAGAACTTGCTGCCCGAGAAGTCACTGTCATAGTTAGTATTTCTGAGTCTGCTTTGGCCTGAAGATGGTAAGTCCAAATGCCCACCTGAAATTGTCGATGGAAATATACAGTAAGTATCCAGAGTCAAACTATCCTTGTTTCCATTAAGCAATTGTAAAATTGCAAAAGTGTGGTGAAAAAAACAGGCTTTGAGGGTTTTCAGGTTTTAAAAGTTGTAAACTGAGGCAATTAGGCAAATCACCAGAGAGTGCTATGCATAGCATCTATACTTTGTGATATCTTGGCTATAAAAATTGCCTGAGTTTTGGCCTTTTTGCTACCTTCACAGTCACAGATTCTATGACCCTGGTAGCATTAGGAAGGAAGGGCTCTGTAGCTGTCTCTACACCAACTTACACAAATCCTTCCTATACTTCATCCTTACGGTTCTTAGACTCCCTTGTCTTCCTTCTTTCATCCTTCCTCTTCTCTGCCATGTAATTATTAGGATCACACAGGCCAGAAAAGTGCATGGTATTTTATTTTAATTTCCAAGATGATATAATCTTTGACATATTTATGACATGAAACAATTGATTTTCAACTAAAAATTTTTTCAGAGGCATTCAAACAACTGATTGCTTACCTGTGCAGTTCCTGGAATAGTAAGATAGGCCATTTTGGAAGCAGTGTCCACTATGAAATTTGTGACTGGTGTTCCACTGGGATTCCAGAGAGAAATTTTGGGAGGCTGTTTGCTCCATGTGACTTGAAAGAATGTGTCCTTTCCCACGGTGCTGTCAATGATTACAGTGTCATTCATCCAGGAATCACTGTTCAGTGTTGATCCCTTACTTTCCAGCTGTTTAATTATATTTAAAAATGAATGATGAAGAGAATAATTTTATTCTTTTTTCTTTTAAAGATAACTCTTAAATTTTGGTCTGAAACAAGCTTACATATGGCATACCACCTTACACTGTAATATTTCTGAGAGTTTATTGGGCTGTGACTAGAGTATTTGAGTAGAGACAGAGTCAAGGCCTCAGAGCTAAAATAAAGACTAATAAGTAACTGAGACAAGCACTCATGGATATTTTCCTAATGTGGAATCCTGAAATAATTTTTCACACATGATAGAGGGAGAACCACCAGACAGAAAATACATTCAACAAGAGAACATACTGATATGTGAAGAATGAAATCTTGAGAAGAGAGAAAGTAAAAGATGAGACTTTTAGAGGAGCTTTAAAGAGTTATTCAAGTCTTTGCTGATAGCTCTTAGTCTTGAAGAGTCAACTTTTTTTTTAGTCACAAAAATTGTATATATTTATATGTACAGCATGATGTTTTGAAATATACATACATTATGGGAGGGCTAAATCAAGCTAATTAGCATAATCTTACATACTTATCCTTTGTTTTTTGTGGTAAGATCAATTAAATCTACTACCTTGGCTATTTTTAAGACTACAATGCATGTTACTTAACTATAGTCAACAGGTTTGTGTAATAGATCTCTTGAACTTATTTCTCCTATGTGAAACTTTGTATCCTTTACCTAATATCTTTCCAAATTTTACACTCCACCAGCTACTTGTAATAATCATTTTCTTTTTTGCTTCTATTAGTTCAACTTTTTTGGATTCCCCCTGTGACATCATGCACACTTGTGTTTTTTTGCTTTGTTTATTTCACCTAACATGAAGTCCCAGGAGATCCAAATTTACCTCTCACCAGAAGATTCCTAGAGGGCACCACTTCAGGAACAATAGGAAATTCTATTTCTACTCCAACTCAGTGCTTAATCAAAAACTCAGTTATCAGAATCCACTGAATTCTGCTTTGAAACATCATTGTTATGACAAAAATCTTAGTCCCCTGTCAAGTACATGTCTTTGAGTGGACATGAGTTAAATTTGAATGTAAATGCCATTTTGACTCCTTATCAGGAAAGGCTAAGAAAATAAGATGGTTTTGGTAGTATTAGAGGAAAATAAATGTGGGATACAGGACAGTCACAATGAAACCTCCTGTACCTCTGTTATAAACCAATAAAATGTTAAAAAATGGACAAAGTTATTTTTGGTGGAAAATTCGGTATTATTTAGTTTTCAGTTATCCCTTGACTACACTCTATGGAAATAAGAAAAAAAAAACTGATATTTTACCAGTTATTTTATTCTTATTTAACCACAAATTTGGTTGTAGCTAATGAATAATTTATATTTTAGATTAAATTTTAATTTTAATTAAAACTTCACTTTGAAGAAAATAGAGAACTCAAACTTAAAACTATCAATTTTTTGTGGGGAGGGCTGGTACTGGGGTTTGAACTCAAGGTCTCCTGCCTGTGCTCTACCACTTGAAGCACTCCCTCAGCAAAAACTACCAAATCCTTTTTCTTACTTATGGTCAATGCAAGCAAAGCTCCTAGGTGTGGGAACTCTGACCTGAAGTGCCTTCTGGGTGGGATTGGCATTTTCTGATGTAAGGGACCCAAAAGCATCAATGAGGCCATTGTTTTCAGCTGTATCTGTAGCATACAAATGTTTTCCTCCTAAAATTAAGCACATTAGTTAGGTTGCTTTTTAATAAGTACTCATCACATGTTAATCATTAAAAAGTTAACAGTTTAAGCAAAATAAAAGTTTTAGCTTGTATTATCCAGCTAGACCAGTATTAGAGTGCTGTAAATATCAACTATATAATGCTAATTTAAAATATCATAAGTATAAGATATAAGCTACATTTATTACAGATACCTCACCTAGGTGAAATACATCAAATATTCACAGACCATAAAAGAAGACATTGCTGAACAGGAAATTACTTCAAAGCAGATTATGGGATACAAGAAATTACCAGTTAAGCCATAAAATGAGTCCAGGGCCAAGATAAAAGGACCCATGTGGAGATAGCCACCCATTTCCACCTTTCCTTTGTTTTCTTCTGCAAACAGATTTCTTGCTATGGATCCTCTAGTGCCCATTCCCACCTTTCTTTGTCTCCTTCTGTAAGCAGACTTTCAGAAACAGGCCCCTCTGCTGCTCCTACCTAAACAATCCCAGGTCCCTAACCCCAGTGTGAGACCACCTATTAGTAACCAGCATGTTCCCTCTAACCTGATCCCCTGCACTGCCCTTTAAGAATCCTGTGATTTCACTGCTGGGGGCCCAGAATTTTGAGTATGTGTTCATCTGGGACTACAGGCTTCAAAGAAAATAAAAATATGAGTTCTCCTACTTCTCTGAGTGTCTCTTGGACACAATACCTGGATACAATTCCAGGTATTTAGACTCACAGATGTTACAGACCCTTTCCATTTTTATTTAACAAATAATTCTAACAAAGTTGGCTTTCAGGTTTTTTCAGACAAAGTGGATCAGAAACACAAAATGAGAAAGACAAAAGGGGTGCTGTATCCCCAGGTGTCCTGACAGTAGCTGGCACTGAGAGGATAGAAGAATGGTAAAACAGGGGGACTAGCCCCAAAAGGTACATCTTAGGCAGAAATAAGTTTTATAATGGCCATGAAAGCACTTTGAAATGATAGGAGTTGAAGGGCGGACTGCAGGAGTTCCCAAAAGGTGATAATTAGTAAGGAAGACACTTCTTCTTCCCCAGAAACATCTGTTTGCACCAGAGAGACATCTCCACCTCAGGCAATTAAAAAAAAGGCTATAAAACCCATTTTCCAATCTGACCCATGGGATCACTGGTTTCCAGGCATCACTGCATGCCCCATGCAGCCTTTCTCTTCTCTTCTCTGCAAATAAAATCTTTCTGACTTCTGCTGCTTGAATACGCCTTTGCTTTCTATTTCAGAGTGGACCAAGAACCCCAACACCTGAAAATTCCTGCATATCAGAGTTTATACAACCAAGCATTAAAAAACAAGTATATATGTGGTACCATAAAAGCCAGTTGGATAAAATTCTTAATACCCATGATGTAAATTGTGTATTCTTTACTATGTGTAAGAAGGCATTAGAAATATGGAACCCATTTTCATCACTTCTGTGTGCCTCAAATAACAGCCACTATGGTTAGTGATGATCTAAAACTTCACTGTTTCTTTTTAACCTGAGCTCATGTTCTCCCACCTCACAGCCCATGTGTGGTAGATAGCCCTGATCTCAGGGGACACCATTCCCTCATGTGTTTGTATTGTCACTGCCACATGCTTTTTCATTTATCATTTTTTTGATTATGTCTTGGTCATCTTTCCTCATCTTTTCTTCCTAGAAAACTCAGCACCCTTTTTTGAGAGACTAAGGCATTTAATCTCTCATGCTTTCTTTCCCTTATGCTATACAACCCTGGGGGAATTGGTGGCTCCCTCTGCTCACATAGAACTTTATTCTTTATTATTCCAGTAATGCAGGAATGTCATCTGGTTCTATTTTATTTATTCCTCCAGACAACTGCACTTTGGACACCATGAGAAAAAAGATTGGGGCAGGTTTGACTCTGGTCTTCAAATCCTGGCAGAGTACCTGCAGAGCAGGAGCTCAAGAGAAGTTGTTGAGTTGTGAAGGTCTACATTTACATATTGTAATTAAAGGTGTAGAATATATAGGTCTTGCTTTACCTGTTATATCGCTCATCTGTATTACTGCTATAGCAGCAGATGGTCCCAAAGCAAGAAGATGAAGGATGACCCCACTTTGCTTCACAGTCTCAACACACCCGCTGGCAGTGCTGTCCTCCCCATCAGTCAGCAGCACTATTTCAGACCCGTCTAATTGGGAATTTTTCTTTTTAATTACCTGCAAACATAATTCAGAGAACAATTACCATACTAGTTCAAATGTAATCATAGGAAATTAGAAATAATTATAGAGGAAATAGATAGAAGTATGTATGATAGAAGAGATAGTCTCTGTTTTAAAATCACAGAATGTGAAATTAATAATCCCTGGGAATTTAATGTAATTGTTTCTGCTTCTTGGTTAAAGAGAATATTTATTCAAATGAAATTAGATGGGGACAGGGCTTTGGAAAACCCTAAATTTAAATGACAATGACATCTTAGTCTGGAATACTACGGTCAGTCATATATTGAAAATGAAAGTAAATTCTTTTTCTAGGACTATGCTCTAACCAGCCTGCAGTGCATAGAGTCTGTTGAACATACAGTCAGATGCATTAAGAATCCACCTTAACATAAAAAGTAACTGATTCCAAATTAGAAAAAACCCAGTATGCTTATAAATGAAAGGTAGTTTATATTCTAAGCATGTTTATGTCAGAGATTCCATTATAATATTTTAAATTTACTTTTAACAGAATGAGCACAGAACCAAGCACATTAGTGATGCTCAAAGACTACATGAATAATATTTATTGAGTACTATTTGTAATTTGAATCATTTTCCTATGAAACCCAACATTTGAAACTTAGAGTTCTGAATCTAAGTACTTGCAATAGCAGATAAAGACAAATTGGCCCCATATAATAACTATATTTCATTTTCTATAACAGTTTTAATTGTAGTGGGTTCTTTGAATACTACTTTGGGAAACTGAGTCCAGGCCAAAAGGAAAAGAAAGGCCATACTATCAGTGGCTTTGGGCATGAGAGTGAAGGTTTGTGAAGATGTACAAATAGTTGGATGCAAATAGCTACCTATTATTTATAAACATAAATATGGAGTAATATATGTTCTGACATGCATTGAAAGCAAATAAAAATAGTGAAAGTCTCCTATACATTTATGGCATTTATACAACATCCCATCATGCTCCTTCTACACAATTGAGTCCAAAACAAAGATCCTAAGATGGCGTAGAGTGCTCTTTCCCTTACCTCTCCAAGTTGTTTATTCACTGACACCTTAACAATGTATCAGTGACTGAGCTGTGGATTCAGTAGGAGCTACATGGTTCCTGCATTCATGGGAAGAATTGAATTCAATTGAACAATATTTACTGAGCAGGACTGAGATGTAGAGATGAGCAACAAAGACACAACTAACATGTAGGTAGAAAAGTATAAAGTTGAAAAGAAATAATGTTATAGGTCAACCATTTACTGAATGTTTATTATAAATTATATATCATGTATATAAGGTTATATATGAATTGTGTGAATGTTTTATATATGATGTAATTTAACCCAAATATAATCCCCCAAATTATAACCCTATTACCACTCTTGATCACTACAGGAGCAATCAGCATCAGTTTCCTAAAACATAAGTTGATTATCAGACTGATTCTTAAAGCCCTTCAATAGTTTTCTGTTGTACTTAAAGCAAAATTACAAACCTCTTGTATTTGTTTGAAGCTTTGAAAGATTCAGCCACTGATTATTTCTCCAAGGACATTTACATTCTGATTGTCAATCTCCAGTGCCACCAGCTCCTACCATTTCTTAGAGTCATTCAATTCTTTTTCACCTCTAAGTCAAAGAACTTTGTGTTCCCTGTTCTATAGGAACCGTTGGTTCTTTCTTATCCTTCAGATCTTAGTTGTTGTCTTTTAGAGAAGGCCTCATGGCTCTCTACCTAAAGCAGTTCTCCATCTTTCTCATTCTCCTTATCAGATCACCCTGCTGCATTACTTCACAACACAGTGTCTGTAATATGTAGGTACTATTTTTTATTCACGTATGCAGTATCTGTTCTTCACTGATTATAGCATGCACCACAGAGGGAAGAAGTTTTGTTTGGCACATAACAAGCAGAAAGTAAATAAATGTTGAATAAATGAAAACAGGAACAACCTTATGTGCTAGTCTTCATTATTATTCCATTACCCAAGAGGTAATGAAGGACAAGAGAGGTCAAGAATCATGCTTAGGGTCACAAAACAAATAAGCGACAACTGTGATTTTAACACAGACCTACATGTTACAAACCTACACTACAATGCCATGTAGTTCATAAAAGAGAGAGATTCAATAGAGTTGGGGGGGAGATAGAGAAAGTTACACAAAGAGGAAAGGAATTTGAAGAATTGGTTAAATTTTAGCATGTAAAGATTGGAAGTAAAATATTTTAAGCAGAAGAATATACAGGTGTAAATGTACAGAGTCAGCCAGGGGGCTTGGAGAACAATGCGGGCAATAAATTGCTTGGAGCATAGAGTGTCAGGAAGGAAAAACTGAGGAAAAGTCTAGAAATATGGAAAAGACACAACTTACGGCTTAGGAAAATTTTGAGTAACATTAGACTGGGAAAATCAGACAATTTTATAGACTGTGAATGGAAAAGAGGATTTCTAAGCAAGAAAGTGACATAATTGATATTGTTATGCATCAAGATGAACATTTGGGTAAAATTCACTGTTTAATATAGAAATAAATGTTCTAAGTATGTGACTTAACACTTCACTTAATCCTTATGATAATCCTGTGGTATTCTTTCCAATTTCCTGCACTTTATAAAGTGTAGAGAATCCTAAGGGACTGAAAAGTTCAGTAAGTTTGCAGAGCTAGAAAGTAGCAGAGCTGCTACTCTGATGTCAAAGTTCAATTCTCGCTCACGAGGCTTGCTCTACTTATGACCGCCTGTGCTCCATTGACGTTAACCTACAGGTCAGTTTGCTTGTCTGAATGTCACCTAAGCTGAAAGGAGAACTGGCCCAAAGGGATCACACTGTGTAACTTGCTTCACTGCCCAACAGTTGATGGTTTTTGTATCCAACTGCTTATTATAGCACCAGCCATTGTACAGTTACAAAAGAGTAAGGTCCCTGACTTCCTTATAATCTAGTGCATTTTTGCTTATTTATTCCCTCACAATTTCCTCACTGTTAAACTGATCCACTCAAAATCAAGTGAATTTTTTCTATGCGCTGTGTCCTGTGTCCCTTAGTTTTAATTATGTTAAATCATGTAGCAAGTATGCACAGCAGCACTTCACATTAAAATGTCCTAAAAAAAAAAAAATTTGCAGCGTGATTTTCACCTGAAATGCAGCTTGAATTCCTTTACAGATGGAAGTTCCTCCACCAGCTACTGAAGGTAAGCTTTCCAGCAGCGTGTTTCGTTCAGTGTTGCTTTTTATTTGGATTAGTTCACTTTTAATACTGGCAGTACTATCAAAGTGAACCATCCCTACCCAGGATCCATTTTCAACAGTCTGCAGCAAGAAATATTTTGCTGCTTGATTCATTCGGTTGAGGCGGTTACTACCCTGAATAAAAAAGGATGAGAAAACAAACAAATGATTTTCAGCTGGAAGATAACAGCAGAGCACACAAATGAGCACATAAAATGTATTGGTAGGAATTTTCTATGGATGTTAACTGTGTTATTGAAGAAAATGATTATCATTTTTTCAATTGATAATACTGAAAAAATATGGTTATGTTACAATTTAGTAAGCAACTCATGCTTTTTACCTAGAGCTCATTCCTGGCGCCAGTTAGAGGTGGAAGTTAGGGTAGAGATTAAGTTGGAATTAGGGGTGATGATTCACATCTTAGAGCATCTCTAATTACTCCTGAGATCCTTTGTGCCTGTTGTCCTAAGATGAAATCACACCTCAGAGCTCACAAATCAACCAAACTATCTTGAACGTCAACCAGATCCGAAATTGCCCAATTTACTGGGGAATAGTCAGGTGACTAGTGAAACTTACATGAATGTAGCTAAATTCTGAGAAATCCAGTCCCAGTCCCTATTGACCCATTTCCTTTTCTTCTCCTAACCTTTCCCCACCCCTTCTCCACCAGGGAGTTAACTGGAACTGACTCTTAGGCAACCCATCAGGACTCATATCCGTCTTCCTAGATGATTGCCCAGGATGTATGTGTACCTCTTCTTGTATTTGCCTTCTCCAGTCCCTCATCAGCACACTCATGAGTGGTACCTACTCAGAACCCCAAATTTCCTTCTGAATTCCTAAACCCTCTCATAGTGAAACACTTGTATGTCCCCATATCCGAGAGCTCTTCACTATTTTGCCTTGCCTTTATACTGGATCTACCAGCACCCTGTGGAGGGCAGGCTGCCCATCTCTCAATCGGGAACATTTCCTCAACCATTGTGTGGGTTGTGATCCAGCACTTTGTTGTCCTCTGTGAAGTCCTGTGTTCTTGTGGTGCATTTCATTGATCTGCATCATTCTCTGCCCTTCTAAATAACCACCTTCCCCTCATCTGCTGAATGTTTTATTCCTGGTGTTCAGCATGGTCTGTTCCACCTCAAATGTGCCATCCTTCCAGGTTCTTTCTCACATTGCATGTGTTTGTAGTTTGTTTATTTCAACAATTACTTATTGGTCATCCCTATGTGATGAATCTGTTCTAAGCAATATGAAGATGCATCCGACAATGTTCCAGTTCCTATGGCAGTCCCAGTATAGTGGGGACAGTTGTGCAGTTTCAAAGAAATATATAGTAATAGTGTATCCACAGGGCAGTGCTGGGAATCATCAGAATTGCCTACAGCACCCTAAATGACCAGCCCATTTCTCCTGGAGGAAGTGTCTCTCCTAAATTTTGGAGACAAGTATCCATTAACCAGGCAGAGGGGAGGGAGAGAACACATTCTCTACTGAACTCTGAACTTCTGTTTTTGTTTCTTCCTTCCTATTTTGAGACAGGGTCTTGGTAGCCCAAGCTGGCATGAAGCATGCAGTCCTCCTGCTGGATAACAGGTGTACACATGCCTGACTATGACCTTCTCAAGGACATGAATCTGTTCTCTGAGTCTGTTACGATGCCTGCCATTCACAGAATGACAAGAGAAGGACTGAATGGCTGCATCTACTCGTATATTCTTTATGGTGATGCTTTTTTTTTGTTTGTGTCATTGAGCATAAAGGGGACACCTGTACAGTTGATATAAAGTAAAAGAAAGCAATGTTAGGAATTGTGCTAATCTAGTAATCCAATCTATCCTCCTGTCTCATAAGCATTTTCAGTAAAAGGGCTAAAAGCAGTTTCATATTTCAATCTCTAGCTTTGATCTTGCCACTAAACAACCTCAGAGGTCTCCTTGGTCAACCATCCATGTTTTGGAAAAAGTAAAACCACATTCTTAAGTTAGATCTTCTTAACTCTACTGACATATTTCTTTCGTTCTTTCTCCACAATATTTTATTGCAGAATATTGAGGTCACAATCACAGGAAGTGATGGTACTTTAAACCACCATGCTAGCGGGAACAACCCAGGTTCAGGTAGAGTTTAGTGTGTTCCTAGCATCTGATTACTCCCCGTTGCTATGTCCAGGAAAAAATGGTCCCTTGTACTTACAGACATGCTTCCAGATTTATCAAGAACCAAGCACACAATTCTTTCTCTGGGCCTCAGCAATGAGAAGACAGGTGGAGGAGGCGATGTTTCCATAGGTGTGGAATTTTTAAAATCCTCAGAATTGCTGATTACCTCCCATGTACTTCTGTAACCACACTTTATATTTTGTAAACTTGGAGATTCCTGGTTATGGTTTTTTTCATTACAGAATTCAACTACCTAAAAGGTTAACAAAATGAAAAAATAATATTACTGTACTATGGAATAAAATCCTTCCTACAAACCTGAAAAAACTAAAATGCTCTGAAAATGTACTTTTACTGTAATAGTACCAATAATAATAGATAATACTAGTTGAGTGTTTACCATTTGTCAGCCAATGTTCAAAGAAAACTCTATTAATATATTGAATCTGCATGTCACAAGGACAGGTATTTTAGATCAGTTATGTCAGGGCTGGGGATGTATTCTAGTGAATAGATTACTTGCCTACCATATGAAGGCCCTGGATTCAGTCCCTAGCAATGTAATAATAATAACAATAATAATAATAATAATAGAAGTATAATAAACAATCATAATAAAATTTAAAAATGAATAAAATCAGCTATAACCTTTGGTCATAAATTCTGGTAGCAATGGTTGGCATACTTACCGAATCAATACTTTGCATAAACATTACGGAAGCCTTTTCTGTTTGAACTTCATCAGGGAAGAACTGACAGTCTTTTTCATACAGTTTCGTGGTAGAATTAGTTCTGCATGTTCTAAATACACAGCTGCCTCCTTGACATGTGTAAACTCTGTTTAGACCAGAGATACCTGTGGAACACCTGAACATAGGTGACAGTCTTTGAGTCAACAACCTCATTATTAACACTTTTAAAACATCTTAACCGGTTCTTTTCATGGTGATCTTTGTGTCAAGATGCCTTTCTATGTGTACCTTGTACTTTCTATGCTGACAGCAAATGTTGAGAGTTCTAATTCAAGTATTACCTTTTTTTCCCCAAGAAATTAGGGTGGGAAAATTTAAATGTGACCCTAAGACATACATAATGGCTGAATTCTCTGCTGGGATTGAAGCTGCTGGTTTCTTGCTTGGCCTTCTCTCCTGCTGGTTTTGTAGTGGAAACTGCAGTGCAGGCACGCCTGGATGAAGGAACTTGTGAAATCATTTACTTTAAGTAGCTCAAGGTTCTGTGCAGATTTGTTTTCGAGGGGGAGATATACACCCAAAGAGTGGGTCATGCCAGCTACATGTGTTTTGAAAATTTAAGGACCATTTTTATCAAAAGGAAAATGCCATTGGGAACCAAGAATGAGGTGCTGTCAAAAAGGAAATTAGAATAAGGAGTGATAGTGGCATTTTAGCATTGGTTATGGGTGGCAGTGATTATACAGCACAGGCTGAATGTAAATATATCTCATCTTTTCCAGAGGCTTCCAGTTCAAATTCAGGAAGCAATGACTGGATTTCACTGAGTAATGTAGGAAGTCTTTTAAATATATTGTGCTCCTGTTGGCTGCAAACCTGGCGAACATAAGGATGCTATCTTTATGAACAATCTCGATGAATATTCTGCAGAAGAAGTACCATTTATGACATAAACCATTGTAATCCATGTAGCATTTTAAACATGCATCCCTGAAAACTGTGCAGTGGGCAGAGGAAGGGCCTTCATGGAAATCATGTACTCTCAGTTTACCTTTCAATTTGTGACAACGTCTGTAGCCCCAGAAGGACCTGTAACATTGATGAGGCTGCCTCCACCCAATTTTAGGCAAGTGTTCTATCACCTGAGCCACAAGTGACAATGCCTTAATAATGGCACCCAATTTTGAATGTATTCCCCCCACCGACAATTTCGCTCTCTTGACCTCAGAATCAAGAGGATCCTCTATTAACAGCTGTGATGCTAGGCTGATTTTTTAAATGACATTTTAAAATCTCTGAGAAGTTCCTAGTTGAGTTGTTGAAGTTGCTTGATATACTACTTAGCTCACGTTAGCAGGACATAACCAGTTTTGTTCATTTTATGGAATATGGATGATTTTATGGACCTCCACCGATAGTAAGTTCATCTACATAGTGTACAATTTTAGTCCAAATGAGTTCTGGCACCCTTGGCAGAGAGGTATAATATATCAAATTGCCCACCAAAAGTTAAATGTTAAATTTATGTGTATTTTAAATAGGCAACCAGCTTATTTATGATCAATTTTCTAAAAACTTAAAACAGTATGTGATATAACATCTATTATTTTCACTGAGAAAATTGCACAATTATCATTTGAAAGAAGTCAAAGCAAGGAAAATAAGACCAGCTAAAAGCCTGAGGTAACCTAGGAGAGACAGATAGTCATGCCTTGTTGCTTCAATTTTCTTTGACTTAGCGCTGTAGAAAGGCTGGTCTTCATTGTACTCATCAAACACTCCCCAGCGGAGATGGGCCCACTCGTGCACAAGCAGTCTACCTGTGGGAAAGCATTTTTAAATATGGTCATAATTCAACTGACAAAATTAGTGTCTTAAAAATTTGAATGGCACACACCTGTAATCCCAGGACCTGGGAAGAAGAGGCAGGAAAGTCACAAGTTCCAGGCCAGCCTGGGCCTACATATCTCAAAAAGAATTTGTTTTTTTAAAAAGAAGATGTCTGTTCAATTATTAAAGAACATTCAGGTTTTCCATAACTCTCAACATTTATAGTTTTATTTATGAGAAGAGGCTACTGTGTTGAATGCCAATATATAGTGTAATCTCTTTTTATCCCACGTTATAAAAACATTTATGGAGTATATACAATGGTCAAAGTAGACTAGGATTTGGGTTTTGATTCTGGGGAGGAGGGGCAAAAAGTCTGACATATTTTGATGGTTTATGGCTTTCCAAATATGAACCCTATCAACAGTAATTGTGTTGCGTTAAAATACAAAGGGTGTGCAGTTATGGGGAAAAAAGCATGTCCATAAATGCTCTTGAGGGGGTGATAATGAAATAAGGATTGGGAAGCACTATTACAGATCAGATAAAATTTTGTGGATGTCTAAAGGAAGTGATTCACTTCTGATACATGAAGGATTAATTCTATGAAGCAGAAAAAAATTTTTTGGCAGTACTGAAGCCTGGACTCAGGGCCTTGCATTTACTAGGTAGGTGCTTTTACCACTTGAACCACACCCCCAACCCTTTTTCCTTTAGATATTTTTAGCCTAAGGTCTCTCATTTCTGCCTAGACCACACCCTTCTATCTAGGCTTCAGGCATAGCTGGAATGACAGGCATGTGCCACCATGCCCCATTTTACTGGTTGAGACAGGGTCTCCCTAACTCTTTTCCAGGGCTGGCCTTAAACTGCAATCCTCCCCATCTCTACCTCCTGAGTAGCTAGAATTACAGGTATGTACTATGTCCCCAACTGAAATAATAAATTTTGATAATATATTAACTATAGTACCAGATATTAAGAAATATAAAGATTTGTAAGATATAGTCTTTATTTTGGAGAAGTTTTGAGAAAGGTAGTTAGAATAAACCATTATTTTAAGTATTTCAGGATGAGTTGCAGAGTACAGATGAATCCACAGCTTAAGATGTAGAAAAAGAAATAAACTTTTAGTGATAAAATTGGGGAAAACTTCAGAGGAAACAAATGGAGAGGAGACTAGAAATAAAATCTTTTCTGCTACAACGAATGCTTCAGTGTGCAAATGACCTCATGTGAGATCTGACACATGGGGAAACAGCAGTGTTAGGCAGAAGTCCTGCCTCTCAAAGCATGGTCCTGGACCAGCAACATCCACATCACCTGGAGCTCATTGCAAATGCACAGTTTCAGGCCCAACCTAAACCTTCTAGATCAGAATTTGAATTTTCAAAGATCCCAAGTTATCCCTTTATATATTAAACTTTAAAATTATTGGCTTAAAGTTTGCTAGATAAATGAAACCAGGTGACTAGGAATAGAATTATAATTTTCAGTGTGGAAGGTAACAGTCCAATATCAGCTACAGGAACAGGAGTTTGGTGAAATGTTTAAAAAATGAAAACTGCCTGCACCTGTGGCTGTCTTTATAGACAGGTCCACAATAATACTTGCTCCCTCCTCAGGTTGCCCCAGCTCCCACCCACCTTAAAAGCAGTCCCTGTGACTCAGAATTCCATTCCATCTTCATTCTCATCTCAGTTGGGCTGTCTGTTGTTATTTGTAATAGAATTTCTATCCTGTGTGTGCATTTGTGTGCATGTGTGTACACACACTTTATTGTCTACTAATGGCAGCCTCCAGGCAGAACCTGGAGTTTCTGCCTGGGTGGCCCAAATTAACTTTCCAAGTATCGATTTTCCTTTGTTATTGTCACCATTGTTACCACAAATTTGCATAGATTTTGAGGGCTCTCTTGTTCGTCTTATTTTTCTAAAACCTGTGTTAGGGCATGGTTTGCAGAATGTGAGTTTTTCACACACACACACACACACACACACACACACACACACCATACCATTATGGAATAAAGACCTGTCTGGAGAAGGGTGGGACCTGTCTTACTGTCTCAGTATCGAATAAGGCTGAATCAGATTAAAAAGCTTCTTTACAACAAAGGAAACAATTATCCAAGTAAAGATATAGCCGACAAATGGGAGAAAATCTTTGCCAGCTATTCATCTGATGAGGGATTAATATCCAGAATAGATAAAGAGCTCAAAAAAACACCAAAAGAACAAATAATCCAATTAATAAGTAAACAAATGAATTGAACAGACAGTTCTCAGAAGAAGTACAAATGGCCAATAAACAAATGAAGAAATGTTCAAATTCTTTAACCATAAAGGAAACACTAAGATGCTATCTCACCCTGTCAAAATGGCTATCAGCAAGAAAGCAAACAACAGAAAGTTATAGCAGAAATGCAGGGAAAGGGAACTTAAACACTGCTGGTGGGAATAAAAATTGGAGGTAGCCACTATGGAAATCATTATAGAATATCCTCAAAAAACTGAAAATAGAACTGCCATATGATCCTGCTATACCACCTTCAGGCATATATCCAAAGTAACGTAAGTCAGCATGCAGTAGAGATATCTGCACACCTGTGTTTATAGCAGCACTGTTCACAATAGCCAAGCTATCAAATCAGCCTAGGTGCTCATCAACTGATGAACACACACACGCATACGCACGCGCACGCGCGTGCACACATGCACACACACACACACACACACACACACACACACACACACAATGGAGCATTGTTCAGCCACAAAGAAGATTGAAATTGTGTCACTTGCAGGAAAATGGATGGAACTGGAGATCATCATGTTAAGTGAAATAAACCAGAATCAGAAAGACAAAAAAAAAAAAAGAATAAGGTTGAGGCTAAGGGGAGGTGTGGGATATGGAAAGATCAAGAGCTCAGATGGAGACATTGGCCTGAAGAGAAATCTTCCTGTTCTATGACAGTTGGTGATAGTTTTCCTTGGTAAAAATGATAGAGATAAATGTAAGTATAGATGAGGGTGGGGACTTCTATTTGCTCATTGAAGACACTTGTCATCTGATGGGAGTGAGAGTAAAAAGAGTGGCTAGAGATCTTGAGAAAATGGTAGAAATTTTAGAAAGCTTCTATGGGAAATGAGAAAGGGTGCTGAGATAAGCCCAGTAAAAATATTGTTAAAAGCATTGAAGGCTCCACTGAGCTTGGAAACTGTATTTGTAGTGATGTGAATTAATATTATAATTTATAATAACATATAACAGGAGCCAAAGAGACTGACTGGGTCATTCAGCCCTAAAGATTTAGTAAGTTACATGAAAACTATGGATAAGTGTGGTAGGGAATCGAGTTATTTCTACCTGTGGTTGAAGTGACTGACTTCACTGGTTATGCCTGCTAGAAATAAGGTACAGTGAGGAGGGTGCATTGGATCAAGCAGACAAGGAGAACATATGAGGGACATCTGGTTAGGATAATATATGAGGAACAGGTAACACTGGGATGTGGGGGGTGATGGAGCTTTTAAGATTGGAGTAGGGAAAGCAGTCCAGATAATGACTAGGACTGGCTGAGTGCTGGCAGACAAGAGAATTAGTGAATGCTCAATGGACAGGCAATGGAGAGGATTGTGCGAGGATTCATGAGACGTTTCTGTGAATAGTGACATGAATTGGGCCACCCTTTAACAATGACTTTCATTTTTTAGAGTAATGTGGGTAAAGCACATTCATTTGGAAAACTGATCTGAACATTTAGATTAATCTAGATGAAATTGCCAGTGTATGTGTTGTGGGAAGAGATTATGAGAAGCCCATGAGAGCTTGACATAAGCACAGTTTTGCTCAATGATCTACAGGCTGAGTTTGGCAAGGCCCCAGCCACAGAAGGGGGTGAAGGAAAATGCAGCTCAGCTGCTTTTCCTAAGTTGTTTACATTTAGAGAAAGAAATAGGAAAGCAGGTTTCTCTTGTTATAGTGTCACTCCCTTCCCTGACAACTGTTGCTCCATCTCCTTCTTTACCACTGCATATAAAAGACTCACTGAAGGAGGTATTGATGGATGGATTGGTGGAATTTTGATTGGCTGGCTATGGGCTGCTTGTGAGGCTGCTGCTGCTGCTACTGTCTGTTGTGTTCTCCCCCAGAGCAGCTTTCTGCACCGAGAACTTTGTACATAGGCATTAAAAAAGCTAAGCTAAAGAAGAGCTAAAGAGAACATGGGACAGTGCAAGTCTAATGACTGAGATTTTGAATTATGGGAATGCAGTTTTTAGATGTGGCTGCTGTTGTTTATCTGTAAGTCTGAGCACCGTGACTTTAAAAGGGAACATGGGACAGGGCAAGTCTAAGGAAAGAGACTTCAAAGAATAGAAAAGAAGCGAGGTTTTAAAGAATAGTAAAGAAGTAAGGCCATAAAGAATAGAGAAGAAAAGAAGCAAAGTAAAAGAAGAGAATAATAGAGAAAACAAGCAATGCAGCTGTTGTGCGTCTACATCCAAGAGCCCATCACACCCGACCCCAACTTTCTGCATGTTTTTCTTTATCTTTTGTCCTTTCTGCATCTCCAGTTGCCCCCAGTTAGGTCGGTAGAACAAGAGCTCATGAGGAAGTTGGTGCATGTCTGAGAGAGAGAAAGAGAGAGAGAGAGAGAGAGAGAGAGCGGTACTGGAGTTTGAACTGAGGGCTTTGCGTTTGCTAGGCAGTTGCTCTATCACTTTAGTCACACCTGCAGCCCTTTTGCTCTGGTTATTTTGGAGATAGGGACTTGCTTTGCTCATGTCTATCGGACCGCAGTCCTCCTGTTTTAAGCTTCCTACAGTAGCTGAGATGACAGGTAAGTGACACCAAACACAGCCTTTTCCCATTGAGATAACATCTTGCAACCTTTTTGCCCAGGCTGGATCTGGAACCAGGATCCTCCCAATCTCAGCTTCTCATGTGTTTAGGATGACAGGAGTGCACCACCATGCCGAGTTATTGGCTGAGATGGGATCTTGAGAACTCCCTGCCTGCCCTGACCTCAAACCATGATCCTCCTGATTGCAGACTCCCAAGTAGCTAGGATTACAGGTGTGAGCCAAGGGAAACTGACTGAAGTTGTCATTTTTAATAAGTACAATGATCAATTTCAGATAATTTCACTGGTATAACCAGATAGGTTGAATAATAATGTCAGCAAGTAACAGCCCATGAATGTTTTCTTATGACCAGCAACTGACATCCTGGCTCTTTCCAGCTTGCTACACATCTGGTTTCCATGGAGTTGTCTGTGACTGATTAATATTTAGGTGTGGAGAACTGGAACATTTAAAGCCTTAACTGTGCCTTCAGAAAACATTTATTATTTCTGGTTCTTTTCAAATTTCTGAAAACACTGTACATACTGAATTAACTAGGTTAATGTTCACAAAAATTCTATGAGGTATAAACTTATTTATTCACCATTTTTCCTGGAATAAGACAGGGAGAATAGATCACTTGTTTCAGCTCACACTTCTAATAAACAGAAGATCTGAGATTAAACCTAGAGACTTCTCAAAGCCTGCTCTCTTACCCTAGGATCAGACCTGCTTGCTGCAAAATTAGATGTTTTAACCCAATCTCTTACCTGCTGGTCCATACTCATTTAGCTTTTTTCCCAATACAAAGTCAGGGGTGAAATAAATGTATTCTGCTTTTTCTTCACATTCTGTGAACTGCCTGGTATATGGTTCATCTCTGCCTGGAACGGTGGGTGGTGCAATTCTAACATCAGCCTGCGGATATTTAAAATGACTGTTAATAATTCAATAATGGAAATGAAAACTTTTAGTGACTCAGAAACAATCTGTGGCAAGACCAGAGAGCATCAGAAAATATTCTTTTTGACAGAGAAGATATTGACACTTACATGTGTGTAGCTCTCATATGTGGGCCTCCTGTATTGAAGGCTGTCCTCCCAACTCTCAGGAATTAATATAGACACATTTTTGAAAAAAAATCTTTTTTGTGTGGCTTCAAACAGATAAGTAGATGCAGTAGTCACTATTTCCTGTATCAAAAGAAAAAATTCTGTGAGAATGGCCAAGTAGGGGCTCATACCAGTCATTTCCCACTTTTCATTGTTAATACAAAAGCAACTGACTAATAAGTAGGATCTCTGCCTGTAATTCCATCTCTGTCACCTGTCTATCCCAAACTCTTGCTTCATCCTGCACACAGAAGGGCTTCTCAGTCTTCTATCCTCTTACCTCAAAGGGCAACTGCGTTATCTTGGTGACTAAAGGAATTGAGTAATATGAATATCTACCTGGACTTTGGAGTCATTTGTTTGATTCCATTACTGATGTTAGCACTTTCTGGGTGACAGATCTTGGTTGATTTATTTAATGCTCTGAAGCTCAGTTTCCTATCCTCTTTTAATGGACATTGCTACCCTAGCTATCTTTATGGCTGGCATGAGGATGGAATGAACTAGAAAGGATGCTGCACATAAGCAATCCTAAAACTGTTTGATGCCATTACTGATTGGAAGAAATGTGAGTCACAAACAGCATGGGCTGATGCAAGCTGAGGAAGACAGTTGTAGAAATTGGTATAGATGGCAGTTTCCTTTCCTCACACCACCCCAAGGAGAGGCAGTAGGGCTGGGTGCTTGATGTGTGGGGTTAAGGAACAATCCATAATAGAGGTAAAATGTTGATCACAGAACAGTTACTTTGTCACCAAGCTGAAAATAATATCACCTTTTATTATCATGAACTGAAATTTACAAAGATTAGTTAGTAAGAGAAATTGTCCCTCCATAAATTCTATCATCTAGTGGGGAACTGATGGGTGAAAGGCCCTTAAGAACATCTACTGTACACGATCAAGTCCACTACATGAGGAATCCTGGATGGTGGATGATGATGTTAATTTCTTCATCATGGTGCAAGCATCCCAGTCTACCGTGTTGTGTCAAGATAGGCTCCTGTTTGATGCTTCCTGGTTTAACAGAAGCCCACACTAGAACTGTTCTTCAGAAATCCAGGTTCTCTTCCTGGTACTCTTTAAGACAGTCTAATGTGCTGACTCACGTGCACTGTATGAACCAAATTGATTGCATTCAGGACCGTGGGTTTAGTCAGAAGGTCAGAGATCAGATAACTGAAAGCCCAGAGGACTGGCTGGGAGGGAGGAAGAGGACTTTGGAGAACTCTAAGGTAGGTTGTAAATTACTTCAGCATTGACCTAAGACAGGTGAAAGAACTCTCTCCCTTTCCTGAAGAATGCCTTCCTCTTCTAAATTAAGTGATATTTAAGTATCAAGGGGTTGTTATGTTCTGTTTGAAGAGATGACTTTATGTATAAGAGATAAAAGTGTATTTGGTGATCAAATTGAGTTATAGATTGAACAAATAGGGTTGCTATGCATGATTGTGTGAGTTGTACATTGTTTCACTCAAGGGACTGTATTTATTTTGGAGTCTCAGTGGCCCTAGATGGCTGTCTTGGGATAGTGGTGTGTTCATTGGTTATGGAGAGATTTTAGAGACCTATTAGATGTCTGAAATCCCCTGAAATATAATGGTTTTCAAACATTTTCTAGGCAGAATTCCTATTAACTCCTATTAAATGTCTTCTCAGAATTCTTATAACATCCTAGTTGGATCAAAGAAGATGAAGATATGAGTGTTTGCAAAAGTAATTAATTAGTTTCTGTAAATGAGCACCTCTGTGCTCCATCAGAATTTATAGACTTTAACTTAAAAATGACATACTGAATCACCTGAGCACACTCAGTTCATGCCCACCAAAGGCTTGAACAATAAGTGTCAGGACCCAGGAGAGAAGGAGTTGAAAATGAGGCCTTAGTAGATGTGGATATGAGGGAAATGGAAAATAATCCATACAGCTGTACTGTCAATCATTACACTGCATGGAATATTGTAGCCTGAAGAAACTTCAGAAAATCAGAGGCATAGGCTTTGTCCTGTAGCCTTTCTCTTCCTCTGTTTGCCCTCAGCCAGAGGATTCATATCATCTGCACAGTGATGACTCAAATATATATCTACATAAATATTATCATCTCAAATTCAGATTGCTTTTTCCTCTAATTGCATGCCTAAAAAGTGTATCAATTTCAAAATATCCCAAATAATTCAAGATCCCGAAAGTGCCATTTTTTCTTAGTTTTTTCCCATCCTTTCAAGTGTTCAGGTTAAAGACTTGAAGTCTTCCTTGACTCAGTATTTCCTTCCTTCTTCCCCTACACTCCCATCCAGACCATCAGGAAGTATTGTCTCTGATACTCTCCAAATATGTTCAGGATCACACACTGTAATGATCTCTACTATGTCTTCCCTGTCCTTGTCACCATCACTTCTTACTGGCTAATACTTCCCACCTGAGTCTTTCTGCACCTCTGTTCTGCAACAGTGTTTATACAGGATGTGTGGCAAGTGCAAGCCCTCCACCATTTCCTCCACATGCAGTCAGAGAGTCCAGAACATACACAGGAGCAGTTCCTCCATTGCTCAGAACCCTTGAAGGATTCTCTTCTCACTCAGAGTAAGAGCCAATGTCTTTTCAGAGTGCACTGCTACCTCTTCCACTAACCCGCATCCATTGGCTCATTCTCTGGTGTTTCCTTGGTCATATCAAGTTGTTCTCCCCTCCATGCTGATCCTGTATCTAAGGGTTTTAACAAACTCTTCCCTCATTCACATTGTTCCTGTTCAGATGTCACATCATCAGCAAGGTCTTCCCTGACTGTCCTACACCAAACAGTAACTCATGTCTCCCTTTATCCCAGTCACTCTCCACACTCTGTACCTCTTTCCTGGTTCTGTGTGCTCCAGCAACCTACCACCTGTCCTGCAGGTTTACTTTTATTAATTATGTCTCAGGAACGAATGTACACTCCACGAGGCCAGAGGTTTATTTTTTTAGTTTATTACTCTCTGCTCCAGTATACCATAAGCATTCAATGAATAATTTTTTAAAGAATATTTGAGCCTGAACACTAATTTACAAACCAAGAAATTGAAGACCAGAGAGGCCCAGTGCCTTGTCTTTGGTCTTGTGGTGAGATTGGATGGAACTCCATCTAGAGCTTCCATCTCCCTTGACCCTCTCCAGCATTGTCCTCACTACAAAACCCCTGCTTTTAAACTTCCTGGAGCACTTAGAAATTTGCATAAGAATTATTCACAATTAAGGTATTTTCTTTTCCATAATTCAACTAGAAGAAATCCATTTTCCTTACCTTTAGTTGTTCAATTATGTTTTCATCTTCTGGTACACCAGGATCAATAGCAATGATAACATCTTCATAACCATTATCGTTCAGCTTAACAAAGGAACTGTTTGACCCCTGTAGCAGGTAGAGGAGCAAGAGGAAAACTAAACCTCTGAATAACCCCATTGTTCTTCTCTAGTTCCTCAGAAGGCTTTCCTTTCACCTTGTCTCTTTCCAGGTATATATACTCCCCCAAATTGTCATCGTTGACTGATTATGGGATGTTGCCTGTATAAAGGTCAATGTTACACGTAGGGAATGTACATGACTTCAGGTTATATAATAGTTTTATTGTATGTTATTGTCCAGTAGAATTATGAAATGCACAGAACATTTTCCTCTTATGCAACATTTTTTCTGGTGGTATTGGGGTTTGAACTTGCGGCCTTGTGCTTGCTAGGCAAGTACTCTACCACCTGGACATGTCCCTACCCCTCTCTTAAGATACTTTTTGATACTTCCTATATTTGGGCAGTTTCTTAAATATATTCACCTAGTTTAGATATTTTCAATAAAGTGGGATGTGAAAATTAATAAATGAGCAGACCCAATAATGCTAACGTTGTTCCTCATTTTTCAGAGCAATATAATTACTCACTAGATTATTTGTCCCTTAAAGAATAATTGTATGGGCCGGCATGTGGCTGTAATCCTACCTAGTCAGGAGGCAGAGATCAGGAGGATCTCGGTTTGAAGCCAGCCCAGGCAAATATTTCGTGAGACCCTGTCTTGAAAAACCCTTAACAAAAACAGGGCAGGTGAAGGTCCTGTGCAAGTCCCATTACTGGGGAAAAAAAAGACTAATTATATAAATAATGGGAGACAATATAAGACTATCAAATGAGGCCAGTTCAGTTTGAATCCAAATTTAAAGGTCTTAAGACTGATACATTTAAGAAGATTTGGTGAAGTTAAATTACTAGAGTAAACTAAAAAGAAATTCTGGCCAGTAAGAATGAATGGGATTTGTTTTCATAGAAGCATATAAGAAACTCCTGGTACTTTTGTGGTTACTATTGAGGCAGAGTGAGTAATGTTAATAGTCAATACTTACTCAGTGCTTACCAGGGTACAGATTCTCTTACTTAATCCCCAGTGCAGCTCTCTAAGGTAAGTATGTATATTATTTTATGTGATAAGAAATTGATTTAAAACTTGCCACAACCTCACAGCTCATGAATTTCAGAATCAGGATCTAAACCCGCATTCTTATTTCAGAGTCCAGGGATTTAATCACTCCACAATAATGCAATTTTCTTTTTAAGGAGAAAAAGAGGTCATTTACGAATTGTGATGATAAATCAAGTATATTTTATCCTAAAGTAAAAGCAGCCAGGACACAAAAGGAACCGAAAATAGAGTAGTAGAAATTGCCTTCAAGAGTTCAGATAAGAGGATAGAAACAATGCTGGATTCTTGGCCACATTCCAAGACAGAGGCTTCATCATGTGTGCCTGGACTCTGTCTTCTGAGGTAGCATCCAACACACTTCTTTCATTCCCTCAGGAATACCATGGGATAATTAATTGTACATTAAATGAATTACTACCTTGTACAATGAAAGAACTGTTACACTGACAATCCCAGGATATCTGTGATATTTTGGAGTTCCTAGAGTAAGAGTATTAACAAATACATCCTATGCAGTCCTGGTTTCTTCATTGACTTCCCTTCCTATTGCTGCCCACCTCTCACTTAACTCCAGCATTGTGGCTTCAGGCAAACCAACCATGCTCGCATCCTAAATACTTGGTACTGAGGAAATTGGTTTTGACAGGTGGACTGACCAAATTAGTGAATGATAATTATTTTAACTAAAAACAACAAGACAGAAACTTCTCCCATGTCTTCAAAACCTGAAGACATCTGGAGAATTTGTATCTTCTTCTCTATCGTTTGAGGGGATTATCTAGTTTTTGAGGAGATGCAATTACTTCCTCAATAAATTCAGAAATTTCTTGGTTGTAATATTGGAAGGAGAGACTTCCTCTTTACAAAAGAAGTGAGGAAAAGCTCTTCCCAGGCACTTGTTCCTGGAATCATGGGAACCCTGGAATTGGGGACAGATGTGTGTTGACTTGTTTACCATCCTTTTTCCTGGCTGAATTTTTACTTTCTTTGTAAAGATGGAAGTGGAGCTGCTCTGTTGCCCTCAAAACCATCCCTGTCTGTAACTAGTCTACTTCTGACATGTGCTAGGTTAGTTGTTCCAGCTGTTAAGTCATTGTCTACATCAGACTCGAGATCTCAGGAAGATATTCTAACAGAGGTTGGCTTGACATGAGTTAGAAAGGACCATGTTAAGTGGGTCCACACCAGATCTAACTCAGACAAGCAGACAGACTCATGTGTGTCACCTAGAAGGTTGAGTTTCTTTATCCTTGACTAGGTCGAGGGATAGCTTTTAAAAAATAAGTTGTTATTTATTTATTCAATAGAGTGTGCACAATAAAAGTGTATCCAACATATAAAACTTGAGTTTTCACAAATGTTAGAATCATATCAAGTTTGTTTTTTCTTCCTCCCTTTTCCTCCCTCCCTTCTTCACTTCCTTCTTTCTTTCCCTGCTTTCTCTTTCTTTCCTGTCCTAGGGATTGAACTGAGGGCCACACTGCTTTTAACTTGTTGTTGTTTTGGTTTTTTCACTTTAAAGTGAGTTGATTTAAATAAACATACTAGGAAAATAGTAGAATGGTTATGTAAGCATGGCAACAGTCCAAGTTTGGCCCGTGTATCATCAACTGTTGCAGGACACAAACTCAGACACTGTAATCCAGTCTGGTATCAAGATAATTTTAACTATGTTACATTCTGTATTTCAGTTTTGAAGTATTTCAATTATCACTCTGGTTAGCTACATAGTTTTTCGCTGTGGTTTGTGATCTTATTTTGTGTGTCATATATATATATATATATATATATATATATACAGCCCCTTGGCTATTCCGGGGTTTGAACTCAGGGACTGCTCTACAACTTGAGCCACTCCACCAGTCCATGATCTTATTTCAATTAAGTGTATTAACCTTTGATATATTCAACAAACTTACCAAAATCATACAGTAAATTCTTTTGATACTGAATTAACTTTGGAACATTCCATAAAGGCTTAGAACATCTCAGAATCTATAAAACAGTGATGTTAAGATAATTAGGCTTATTTGATATGTTAATTATGTGGGAAATATTGTCAAATAAATGATGTTTAGAGCAAATTGGTTGCTTAAGCCTGTTTCCTCAGCACTTGGGAGGGTGAGTGAGGAGGATCAAGTGGATTTCATAATGAGACCTGTCTCAAAAAAAAATTAACCTTCTTTGAATTATATTTATACACTTTACCAATATGTATTGTGAAAGTTGTATGAAATTCCTGGAAATCTGATTCTATCAGTGTTGATTTTGATTATGTTAAAATGTTTTATGCATCAGAAATATCCAGATTTCTTATCAACTTTATTGTTGTTATAATGAATTCTCATCAAATTGTAAGGGACAAGTGTGAGGGGAAATAAAATGGCAAAAATGTCCCTAGGAACAAATAGCAACCCTGGGAATGTAAAGAGACAGAAGGCAGAAGTAACTTTGCTTTAGGTAAAGGAGATAGGAAGGCATACTTAAATTAGCTTAGCACACAGGTGCAGAGGCACAGTATTTCCTTTCCCTAGACAAGGAGAACAAGGTAAAACATCCCTAAGGGCAGACATCTAAAGGGATGAGATATAGAGCCCTAAAAGGAGAGTAGCATAGCAAACTTTCCCAAGATAAACAAAGAAATGAGTTTCACCAGAATAATGAGTGTAGTCATAAAATGTACATGACAGATTTCAAGGACAAGATGGACTAATGATAGGATTCCAAGATGGCAGCTAGAGGGAGGAAGCAGAAAGCAGCCCTCCTATAGTGAAATCTTGGAGAGATGCTGGAGACACACTTTGCAGGCAAAATCACTGAGAAGAGGCAAAATTTTGACCCCTCCACACCTCCAGCTGGTGCAGAGAATCTCCACTTCATGTTAAATGGAGAAACAAGGAGGGCCCCGGGGCCGCCAGTCGCCCGCACCCAGACGGCTTGGGAACACGCAGACAAGGTGAGCTTCGTGGTACCGTGGTACTCCCACAGACAAGTCTGGGCCAAAGCAGCATAGCCCCCTGGACAGACTGACCTCAACCTGAGGAAAAAAAGAGAAACTGACTAATAAGCAATAAGAACAATAAAGACACATGGGAAAGAGGGTGGGGTGCACTGAGCGCCAAAGATTGGGGGAAAGGAATCCTTCCTGGGACTGTAAATAAACAAGCCGGGTGGGCAGGAGAGGCTCCAGCAGGAGCGGGAGTGCGTGCCCAGCAACCAGGAGTGGGAAAACTTGTGAGAGTGGTGGTGGGAGGAAAACTTCAGAGGAGAGGGGCTCCCGCATGAACTGTAAATAAACACGCAGGCCTGACAACGCGGGGCAGTGTCACCTTTCCCAGTGCTTGGAAAGGGGAAAGCCTGTAGCAGAGGCTCCCGCACAGGAGAACTCTGAGCAAACAAAGCCTGTGGGACCAGGTGAGTGCTAGCTCACCCCAGAGGTCTGCATAAATAACGCCGCCAGTTTGGTCTTTTGATCAAGTCGGTGAGTTCTTGCATTTTCTTTTCACAGGTCTTGAGATTCTGTCTTTTGTTTGTTCACTTCTGCTGGACTGGCCTCCCGTTTTGTTTTGCAATTCTGAGGTTTTCCATATCTTGGGTGGTTTCCTCTTTAATGTTGTTTATTTTTGTCCTTAGTTCATTTACCTGTTTATTAATCATGTTCTCTGTTTCACTTTGGTGTTTATACAGTGCTTCTATGGTTTCCTTTTTTTCTTCTTTTGCTTTTTCAAATTCTCTGTTTTTGTTGTCTTGGAATTTCTTGAGTGTCTCCTGTACATTTTGGTTGACCGTATCCAGTATCATCTCTATAAAATTCTCATTGAGTACCTGTAATATGTCTTCTTTTAAATTATTGTGGGTTTCATTGGGTTCTTTGGCATAGTTTATCTTCATTTTGTTGGAGTCTGAATCTGAGTTTCTGTTTTCTTCATTTCCTTCTGGTTCCTGTA